CGAAAATTAATTTGAATTGATCTGATGAGGAGCACTTGGGTCACTGGTGTAATTTATGTTGTTCCTTCTACCTTGACTAATGCCATTTATTTGTGGAAACAACTAGCGGGAACAACAGTGGAGGAGCAGAAGGATTTTTATTGGAGCTACACAACAGGTGTGCGCTGTGACTGACTAGCGACCAGTTCAGGGCGTTGTCTGTTTTCCCCCGAAGCCAAGTAGGATAGGCGCCAGCACCCCCGCCATCCTGTTCAGAATAAATGGTGTTGAAAATGGATGGATAGATGGATGGGTGGATACAAAACAGGTTGAAAAGCAAAGCACTAACAAACACAAGCATTCGGAAAACATAAAAGGAGAAAATGTGAATGTTATGAGAGGGAACAAACAATCCCCTGTTCTTTTATCCAATCCAGTGTGTAAGCTATGTACTAAAGTCATCTGTAATGGCCACTGAGTGAACTAAAACTAAAAATACAGGTTTCCTCCAAGGAAGGAGAAGAGAGAGCCACCCAGTCAACTGTTCTCAGTGTGGAGGGTGATGATTTCAGAAAAAGAAAGCTGAAAGAAGGCTTTGAAAATCACAAACTTCTTATCCCAACTTGAGTCTGAGATATTTGCAAAATAAGGCATATTTACAGATATATATATACACACACACACACACACACACACACACACACACACACACACACGCTCACCGGCCACTTTATTAGGTACACCATGCTAGTAACCGGTTGGACCCCCTTTTGCCTTCGGAACTGCCTCAATTCTTCGTGGCATGGATTCAACAAGGTGCTGGAAGCATTCCTCAGAGAGTTTGGTCCATATTGACATGATGGCATCACACAGTTGGCACAGATTTGCCGGCTGCACATCCATGATGCGAATCTCCCGTTCCGCCACATCCCAAAGATGCTCTATTGGATTGAGATCTGGTGACTGTGGAGGCCATTTGAGTACAGTGAACTCATTGTCATGTTCAACAAACTAGTCTGAGATGATTCCAGCTTTATGACATGGCGCATTATCCTGCTGAAAGTAGCCATCAGAAGTTGGGTACATTGTGGTCATAAAGGGATGGACATGGTCAGCAACAATACTCAGGTAGGCTGTTGCGTTGCAACGATGCTCAATTGGTACCAAGGGGCCCAAAGAGTGCCAAGAAAATATTCCCCACACCATTACACCCCCACCACCAGCCTGAACCGTTGATACAAGGCAGGATGGATCCATGCTTTCATGTTGTCGACGCCAAATT